ACAAGCTGAAAGAGTACTCCAAATCCATGGACGAGAGCCGGCTGGACCGGGTAAGGTGTGACACCGACAGGTGTGTGTGACACTGACAGGTGTGTGTGACAGGTGTGTGTGACACTGACAGGTGTGTGTGACACTGACAGGTGTGTGTGACACTGACAGGTGTGTGTGACAGGTGTGTGTGACACTGACAGGTGTGTGTGACAGGTGTGTGTGACACTGACAGGTGTGTGTGACAGGTGTGCGTGACAGGTGTGTGTGACAGGTGTGTGTGACAGGTGTGTGTGACACTGACAGGTGTGTGTGACACTGACAGGTGTGTGTGACAGGTGTGTGTGACACTGACAGGTGTGTGTGACAGGTGTGAGTGACACTGACAGGTGTGTGTGACAGGTGTGTGTGACACTGACAGGTGTGTGTGACAGGTGTGTGTGACAGGTGTGTGTGACACTGACAGGTGTGTGTGACAGGTGTGTGTGACACTGACAGGTGTGAGTGACACTGACAGGTGTGTGTGACACTGACAGGTGTGACAGGTGTGTGTGACAGGTGTGTGTGACAGGTGTGTGTGACAGGTGTGTGTGACACTGACAGGTGTGTGTGACAGGTGTGTGTGACAGGTGTATCTAGGTGTACCCAGGTGTATCCAGGTGTGGCACAGGGGGCTGTCAGTTGTACCCAGGTGTATCCCAGGTGTATCCAGGTGTGCCCAGGTATGTCCTGGTGTGCCCAGGTGTGCCCAGGTGTACCCAGGAATGTTCTGGTGTGCCCAGATGTATCCAGTTGTGTCCAGGTGTGACACAGGTGTGCCCAGGTGTACCCAGGTGTATCCAGGTGTGCCCAGGTGTGTCCAGGTGTGCTCACGTGTGACACAGGTGTGACACAGGTGTATCCAGGTGTATCCAGGTGTGCCCAGGTGTACCCAGCTGTGCCCCAGGTGTATCCAGCTGTACCCAGGTGTGCTCAGGTGTACCCAGGTGTCCCCAGGTGTGCCCAGATGTATCCCAGGTGTACCCAGGTGTGCCCCAGGTGTACCCAGGTATGCCCAGGTGTGCCCCAGGTGTGCCCAGGTGTGACCCAGGTGTCCCCAGGTGTGCCCAGGTGTATCCCAGATGTGTCCCGGTGTGTCCCAGGTGTGCCCAGGTGTATCCCAGGTGTGCCCAGGTGTGCTGCAGTGTCCCTTTGGCAGGTGAAGGAGTACGAGGAGGAGATCCACTCGCTGAAGGAGCGGCTGCACAGGCACAGGGGGTGTCAGGTGTCACACAGGGGGTGTCAGGTGTCACACAGGGGGTGTCAGGTGTCACACAGGTGTATCCCAGGTGTGCCCAGGTGTCACACAGGTGTGCCCAGGTGTGCCCAGGTGTGCCCAGGTGTGCTGCAGTGTCCCTTTGGCAGGTGAAGGAGTACGAGGAGGAGATCCACTCGCTGAAGGAGCGGCTGCACATGTCCAACCGCAAGCTGGAGGAGTACGAGCGGCGGCTGGTGACGCAGGAGGAGCAGACCAGCCGCATCCTGCTGCAGTACCAGCAGCGCCTGGAGCTCAGCGAGAAACGGCTCCGGCAGCAGCAGCAGGAGAAGGACTCCCAGATCAAGAGCATCATCGGCAGGTGAGGGACACACGGGGACAGCGGGGACAGCGGGGACACTGGGGACACTGGGGACATTGGGGACATCGGGGACACTGGGGACACACAGAGACATTGGGGACATTGGGGACATCGGGGACATTGGGGACAGCAGGGACATTGGGGACACTGGGGACAGGGACACACCAGGGTCACATGGGGACTCCCAGATCAAGAGCATCATCGGCAGGTGAGGGACACGGGGACAGTGGGGACACTGAGGGGACATTGGGGACATCGGGGACATTGGGGACACTGAGGGGACATTGGGGACTTTGGGGGACACTGAGGGGACAGCGGGGACATTGGGGGACACTGCGGACACTGGGGACATTGGGGACATTGGGGACACACAGGGACACGGAGACAGAGGGACACAGGGAAAGTGACACAGGACAGAGTGAAACAGGAACAGAGGACACAGATGACACACACAGGTGACACACACAGGTGACACAGGTGACACACAGGTGACACACAGGTGACAGAGGTGACACACAGGTGACACAGGTGACACAGGTGACACACAGGTGACACACAGGTGACACACACAGGTGACACACACAGGTGACACAGGTGACACACAGGTGACACACACAGGTGACACACACAGGTGACACACAGGTGACACACACAGGTGACACAGGTGACACAGGTGACACACACAGGTGACACACACAGGTGACACACACAGGTGACACACAGGTGGCACACAGGTGACCGGGGCCATGGGGACATCGAGGCACACGGGGACACGGCCTGGCCCGCACGGTGTCCCCAGCAGTGTCCCCACCTCTTGGGGGGTGTCCCCAGGGTGTCCCCAGGGTGTCCCCATGTCCCCAATGATGTCCTCAGGGTGTCCCTGGGTGTCCCTGTGTCCCCGGGGGTGTCCCCAAGGTGTCCCCAGGGATGTCCCCAGTGATGTCCCCACGTCCCGGGGGTGTCCCTGGTGTCCCCAGGGTGTCCCTGGGTGTCCCTGGGTGTCCCCGGGGATGTCCCCAACGATGTCCCCATGTCCCTGGGTGTCCCCTGGGTGTCCCTGGGTGTCCCCGGGGATGTCCCCAATGATGTCCCTGGGTGTCCCTGGTGTCCCGGGGGTGTCCCTGGTGTCCCCGAGGTGTCCCTGGGTGTCCCCAGGGTGTCCCCAAGGTGTCCCTGGGTGTCCCTGGGTGTCCCCGGGGATGTCCCCAAGGTGTCCCCACATCCCAAGGGTGTCCCTTGTGTCCCCGGGGATGTCCCCAAGGTGTCCCTGGGTGTCCCCGGGGGTGTCCCTGGGTGTCCCTGGTGTCCCGGGGATGTCCCCAATGATGTCCCTGGTGTCCCCAAGGTGTCCCCAAGGTGTCC